CTTATTCCCAGTGTGAATTGTAAATCAGAGAAAAGGGATGGATTCTGCTGGAGCCCACCTGATCTGTGAGAGTTTGTCCTAAACAGGAAGAACTTTAGGGTTGTGGATATTGCATTCATTATTTTATGTAGTTCATTCCATTGTTTCACTTTCAGTGTAACTACAAGATTCCTGTTTTCTTTCTTTTCAAGGGTCCTCCTGGTGATCAAGGTGCTGTTGGTGTTGCTGGTCCTGCTGGTCCTCGCGTAAGTATTGCCTTCAGTTTTACACTAGGTTTGCTTTAGAAAAAACACAAAGCATCTCCAATACAGGGACTCTGCATAAAGACTGATAAGAATGCACAGTGCCATATCCTGAGTATTCAGATAGCTGTTTAATAACGATATCCTCTAAATACCACCATGAGAAACCTTCCACTGAAGAATAACTGCAAAAAAAAAATGCTTCTCCAAAACATGCAGCTCCTTTCAGCATTCAAAGATGAGGTTATATTTAACTTAGATAATTTGATGTGAATTCCAGCCTAATACTTTCATCCTGGAATTACAGCATCGAGTCATGGGTGCAGAATCTAGTGAGCTACGTTTGCTCTCAAGAGCTGTCACTGTGGAAGCTACCAAGTTGTGGCTGATTCAGGAAGATATCATACCAGCTCCATTTGAGCTCGTCTACACATGTCTCTAATCTCAAATCGCTGCCTTTTCTCTGAAATAGTCAAACAGTCAGTTATTAAACCCCCCACTGTAGCAGTTAGGGACAGGCAGGAAATTCAGCCTTGTCAGCATCACCCACATTCTGACCACAAATTTAAATAAAATATAAAAAGCAGCGGATTATTTTCTGAGTCTTCACCCCCTTCAAGGAGTAATTTTTCAATAGTTTACTTACATTATGTAACTTAAAGTGAACAAAGGATCAATGAAAGCACACTGTCGATGACTGGTTTCTAACAGCATTTGCTGTTGTCCATTGCAGGGTCCTCCTGGTCCTGTTGGGCCACCTGGTAAGGATGGTGCAAATGGTCTGACTGGTCCCATTGGTCCGCCCGGCCCACGAGGGCGTTCTGGTGAAACTGGCCCTGCTGTGAGTATCATAAGGTCTCTTCTCCTCACTTCCTCACCGTTGAAATTCTCTAGGTTCTTTCCCTAGTTTATTGTTTCCCGTGACTAATGAGCTTATCGCCCCCCTCAAGTTATTGTGTCACATGTTTTAATGTCACTCTGGATATTTCCCAACAGGGTCCTCCTGGTAATGCTGGTCCTCCTGGTCCCCCTGGTCCTCCAGGCCCTGGTATCGATATGTCTGCCTTCGCTGGCCTGTCGCAACCTGAGAAAGCTCCTGACCCACTCCGATACTTCCGGGCTGACCAGGCTGCTCCATTCTTGCGCCAACATGATGCTGAGGTTGATGCCACTCTGAAATCCCTCAACAACCAAATTGAAAATATCCGCAGCCCAGAAGGAAGCAAGAAAAACCCAGCTCGTACCTGCCGAGACCTGAAACTTTGTCATTCAGACTGGAAGAGCGGTAGGTAGACGTGAAAATCCAAAATGATACCGGCAGAATTGCCTAAGATGGAGCACTCGCAGTAAATTTTAGTGACATTGTTAGAATTCTGTAATTGTTTCAGCTGCATCTTTGCAGCCACCTTGCTGGGATCTAGCAAACCAACTGCACCTCAATATTTCAAATGTCTGATCTTTTGCATATTGCAATATATGCTCTCTAAATTAATTTAACTGAAACAAAAATAAATACTTGAAAATTGTTTCTAAGGTCTCATTCCAGATGACATTAATCGGTTAAAAAGTTCACATTCTGTATCAGCGTTTTAACTGAATTGCATGCTTTGTGGATGGAAGTGTCCAGCATGGAATGGTGTGGAGTGTCAACTATTTCTGAGTTTGCGAATATGTCGCAGGTGATTACTGGATCGATCCTAACCAGGGCTGCACACTCGATGCCATCAAGGTCTTCTGTAACATGGAAACTGGTGAGACCTGCGTCTATCCCAACCCAACGAGCATTCCACGCAAGAACTGGTGGACAAGCAAGGGAAAAGACAAGAAGCATGTATGGTTTGGCGAGACTATGAATGGTGGTTTCCACGTAAGTACCTGAATAATTCTTGCATGGAGATTAACAATAAAAAAAGTGATTAATGCTGAATATGTATCATCCATTGAGTTAGTGCAAACCTTCCCTCACACCAAAAGGAAATGCTGTCTGCCCAGGTGATCTACTTCAGGACTTTTACAATAGAATGTTCAACTTTATAGAAACAGGGGACCAGTCACATTAAATACACATCTCTCTTTGGCAGACGCTGTCTACCTGCATTGTCACTATATTCTTTTTATCTTTGCTAAGTTCAATCAGTGGTTGGGTCAGTTTATCTGTTGAATATTTTAGCAATACAGATCAAACAGCCACCAGATCCAGTGGCCCACTCTGCGCTGAGTGAGTTGATCTCAACTGGGGCACTGCAGTCGTCTTCATACTCTTTAGTTAGGGAGGGATTTGCATTCCAATGCGAGGCCTGCTAAACCTTCAGGAGAAGCGGAGGGAGAAAGAATAACCCACACTGTTGTCTCTTGAACTTGTTCACACTGTCAATTACAGTTTGAATGAAGCAGTTCCTTCTGGATTCCCATTTCCTAAATTTTGACTCATTTCCTTTAGGATTTTAACCCTGCCCAAGTGACTTTGGCAAGTCTCTTAAATGTCTATCTCATTCATGCTGACCAGAAGTGGCATCTTCACACCTTGAAACCTAGTCAGTATTCATCCATGCAACCTTTACCATTAGGACTAGCTGCTGCTCTTCTCCCTCCATTGCATTAACAGCTTTAGATTTTCACACATCCCTCGACAATGTGATAGTTTGTCTGAGGTAGTCTTATTGATTCTCTCCTGATAATGATTAAGAACTCCAATTGATTTTCTCCTGCTCTAAATGTCAGCTGGACAAAGGGCAGTTGTAGTGTCTCATTAGCTGAGAGATCAGCAGACTGCAGATTTAACTTGAAACCTCCCTGGTCCTTCATTTCCAGGCTTAGATATGATATGCATTGTGAGACTCTTCAAGGAGTCTTTTTTTCTCTTCTCTTACAGTTCAGCTATGGCGATGGTAGTTTGACAGCCAACACTGCTGCCATCCAGATGACTTTCCTGCGTCTACTGTCTACTGAGGCCTCCCAGAACATCACCTATCACTGTAAGAACAGCATTGCCTACATGGATAGAGCTTCTGGCAATCTGAAGAAGGCCCTCCTATTGCAAGGCTCGAATGACATTGAAATCAGAGCTGAAGGAAACAGCAGGTTCACATATACTGTCTTGGAAGATGGTTGCACGGTATGTTTGGGAGATTTGTTTCTGATTAAAGTTAATAAGAACATTAAATTTAACTGTGCAGCATGAAAGACAAATTTGTTTGCCTTGGATTGTGAAGCATGCAATTTCAGTTCTCATGTTTACGGAATAGGGAAATTAACAAGGCAGTTAGCTCGAGTCATAGAACACTGCAGTCTCATTCTGAGGAACTGAATTAAACCCCATGGTTACCTGGACACAATAACTTTCCTGGGGAGAACGAGGGACACCTTGAAAAGGTAACAGGAATAGACTGCCTTGTGACAATAAAAATTGACACCTGGCAATAGAGCATGGGAAGAAATTGAGAATTGCAAAGGTCAGGCTTGTCAGCTAACACAAAGTAAGGGTGACCAGAACTCTGAGAATCCTCCTTTTATGGCTTCTGAAGAAACATTAGGGGAGGAAAACCAGAATAAATAAGATGGAGGACGTAATTTTCAGTAACATTTGAAAAAAGACTTACAAGTTGTTGCATGTAAGTTAACACAATCATTACTGAAGAATTTGCATTGTAAGTTGAAAACTGAAAGTATCTTTATTCTACTTTTTTCAGAAACATACTGGCAAGTGGGGCAAGACAGTCATTGAATACAGGTCACAGAAAACAACCCGTTTGCCCATTGTGGATGTTGCACCTTTGGATATTGGTGGTTCAGATCAAGAATTTGGTGTTGACATTGGCGCAGTCTGCTTCTTGTAAAATAATAAGGACCTCAGTACTTTCCAATCACTTCTAGGACTTCTGCACTGAATGGCTGATCCAATCCATCACTCCATTCATCCACACGCTTACATTTTGGACTTCATGGCCTAGCTGGACAGACTGTGAAAACGGTTAATTTATTTATTGTTTTCCTGTAAGATCGTCAAGTCAGGTGGAAGTGTTACTGATATCTGTTGAAGGCCCTCCCCTGGATTGTACCAGCGCAGGTCTTACTAAAATTCATGCCGTACCAGTCTGTAAAAAAGGTTACTAGCAGGAGACTGTGTAAAATATAAAAAAAATGGTGCTATGTTGTAAAACCAGTCTGTAACATGGAGAACAATTGATATAAAAAATGTGGAAAGTACAAGTTGATCTGGGCTTTTTTTTTGTGGATTTTTTTTTGCAGACTTTGAGAGACTCTAACTGCTCCAGTATCTAACGTTGCCTGCCCTCTTTTTCTATCAAGGAAGTTTGGAACAACCAATCTAGAACTTCCCCAGTTTAAGCTACCTCACACTAATGATCTTAAGGGGACTAAACACACAGTAGCAGGGACAGAAGCTAGAAAAAATAAGTCCTGATGATCATTCTTATTTCCAATTCAATTTAGAACAGAAAGGTGCTCCTTTTTTTTTTGGCTTCTGGTTTCTTCTTCTGTGGCAGTTTAGTGAACAAGAGGGATCCAGTCAAGATTTGATGGTGCTGACTAAAAACAATTCTGAAGCTGCCATTTGTGTTGTTACAGAACTGTAACACCAACTTAACATCCAGTCATTTTTATAAAGAACAAAATCAGTATTGCAGCAAAAAAATTCTACGTGGATGATGTGTGGTCTGATCTCCAAACAAACTTGGTGAAAACCATTCACAGAATTTTTTTTCCCTTATGTTTTCCAAAGTTAGGCATGTGGATAAAAATTAATCCTATTTTTTCTCCTACGACCTATTTTTCTCCCTAATTCCATGCATCTCTTGCTTTCATGCAACCTTTATTCTTGTTACTAGAGGGGGAAGAAAAGAGGTAGACTTTTTTGGGGGGGGCAAGTCAAACCAAGGATATGTACTATTTTGTATATGTAAAATAGTTCAAATATTTTTAAATAATTTTGCAATACTGGTTTTAAGCATGGTAGACTAGAACATTCCCATCACAACACTAATGAATTTGTTCCTTGTGAAAAGATTCTGTCACTTTGTACTTTTTTTTCTCAACCCACTACCCCTCCTCTGCAGCAATAAAGATAGAAAGCTTTTCTATAAAAAACACATTTGTTTTGAATTTTTTTTATTTGTATTAAATCCATCCTATGATGTATCTTTGTTGAATGTTTATCTAGTCTGGGATATTTCATTACAGAAAATGAAACAACACAAATAAAACTTAACTAAAAAAAAAGTACCCACCATGGTTTCAGCTGTTTTTTGATCCATAACGTTATTCAGTGGCTTGCATTCGGGGCTTGTCAGTAGGACAGAGTCCGAGGGTGACACAGCCCCTTTATTTCAAAATAACTTTTTTTTTCTCCCCAATTTTCCTTATCTCAGTGAATGATGGCAGCCACCTCTCCCCATCAAGCCCAAGAGGTCATTATCACTATGTCAAATATGGAATATAGTCTAGTAGATTGCATCCTCAAGCTACACAAGCTTGTGAGCCAGTCGGAATCCTGACTGATTTTGTCCCCTCCTTATTCTAGCCCACTAACACGAAGTATAGGACCAACTGCTGTGCCAGCTGCAATCAGCTGACTCAGCAGAGACCAGCCACTGGGTTACAAAAAAATCCCTAAAGGCATACAGTTTAATATAGCAATAAAGGGGGAAAATGAAAGCAGGTGCAATGTTGGTTTTGCACCCACCCAAGTTTACTCTTCATTTGAAATCTGTATTGGGAGGGATGTAATACCATCATTCCACCCTATCCTGCGGGGTTTCAGTCTGATATCTGCAGAGTGACTGAATTGAATCCAGAACATATTACAAAATGTTTATGAATGAGTCTAATAAAGTCCATCATTCCTCAAAATTGAATTATGCAGAGGAACAAAAGTCTTTTGCAGAAAACAGAATTAAATAATGTTGGTGTAATTCTCTGGTATCAACTAATAGTACACCGTATCCAATTTTGTTAGGTAACAAATCCCTTAATAAAATTGTAACAATCAAAAGGTTTCAGGTCCAGTATTGTACCTTGTGCCTACAGTATCGTATCTTGGCCCACATTTTGCCATCTTGCTTCCGATTGAGTGGTCCTTGTGTGTTGAAGCGGGATCCTAAAACAGGAAATGATTTTGAAAACTAAGACCTGATGCTGACCAGTTATGGGAAAAAAAATGAGCATGATGGAAGCAGAGGGCAGCAAAATCATTCCCTTAAAATGCCAGCTAATGCAACAGACATGTAACGACAATTATTAACGTTAGTCATCTTTTCTTGCGTTCTGGGATTAAAAGCTTCCAAAATTACATGCTAGGCACATAATAACCGAAAGCACTACTGGTTTTAATAAGTTTTGAGACTGGGGTTTAGCAAGAAATTTTGGGAAACGTGAAAGGCTGTAAGTGAGCTGTGACTAAGTAGTAAGTACCAAGTGACTTATTCATCCCTGATATGTCATACCCAAGCCTCAGCTCAAGTTGGTTTGTGATCACAACATAATATCACATTTTCTTGCCAATCAGTACTGGTACCTTTAGTTTTGTTTCCTGACATCCTTCCTGTACTGTCAACCCACTTCCATTATCTAGATATTCACCCTATCACAGCCACAATGACTCAAAGGGATGCTTTTGGACATTGAACAGGGTACACCTCATTTTTTTTTACTAAATTTAGAGATGCAGAAAGCACAATGCCTTGAGCACACAGTGTATGCCATAAGGCAAAATGTTTGGCACTCCAAGGCACTGTCCCTGGCGATGAGTCATTTGCAATGCCTGGCAGCAGCTAACTGAACAGGGTAATGCCTCTTCTTTGCCCAGTGAATCAAAATGGAAATGAAGGAGGTGGTGGACATGAGCAGTTGAGATCAGTAGCTGTCTCGAATATCAACAGCAAAACAGGTAGTCTCCAAATCTGCTTTTGTACTGGTCATCCTGCCAAGGCTTTCCTACAATCTTGATTCCCATTGCTTGTTAATGTTATAACCACATGGCTGAAGCTTACAACAGGAACAGGTGTTACACTGCAGTCATAACAAAAACATTACTGTATAAATGTAAATTGGAATAGCCTCATAACTTAAGATGCTTTTGTCTTAATTTGCTCATAGGAAGTGTACATCACTGGTCAGGCCAGCAGTTATTGCCCTTTGAGAAGGTGGTGGTGAGCTGCAGTCCTTGTGCTGTAGGTAGACTCACAATGCTGCTGTGGGGAGGGAGTGACAGGATTTTGACCCAGTAGCAGTGAAGGAACGGCCATACATTTCCAAGTGAGATGGTCTTGGAGGGGAATTTTCAGGTGGTGGTGTTGGTGTTCCCACACACCTACAACACACATCCCTTTAAATGGTTAACGTTGCAGATTTGGACATTGTTGCAGTGCACCTTGTAGATGACACATACTGTGCCAGCGTGATGTTAGTGGAGCTTCTAGACTGTTGAATGAGGTGCCACTGAAGAGGCTGCTTTGTCCTGGGGCATAGTAAGCTTAAGTATCATTGGATCTGAACTTGTCCAGGCAAGCAGAGTAAATTCCATCAAACCATTCACTTGTGCCCTGTAGATGTTAAGAAAGGCTTTGTAGAGTTACTCGCCAACAGGCTCCCAGCCTCCAACTTGCTTATGTAACCAGCACATTTAAATGGCTGACGCAGTTCTGCTCCTAGTCGATGATCACAGAATCACAATAGTGGTATAGCACAGGATGAGACTATTTGATCCATTATGCCTGCACCGGATTAATTGGACATCATTACCTCGTGCACACGTCCAGCTGTTTCTCCATACCTTTGCACATTATTACTATCAAAATGACCATCCAATGCCTCAACTGAACCTGCCTTCACCACATTTCTAGGCAGTGCATTCCAGACCACAATTACTTGCTGCAAAAAAGTTTTACTTCACATCACCCTTGCTTCTTCTACACATCACATTAAATCGATATCCTCTCATTCTTGTTCCTCTACAGTTGCTCCCTTACTATTCTATCCAGTACCTTCATGACTTTGAAAACCTTAATCAGATCAGCTAACTTTACCAGGATAGTGACAGTTTGGGAATTCAGTAATGATAAGGCCATTGAAAGTCAAGTGGAGATGGTCATTGCCTGACGCAAATGCTACTTGACCCTTGTCAGAGCATGCCTGGATGTTTTATAGGTCTTGCTGCATATAGGCTTAGTTTTCAGATCTGCAACATGTTGTATCCTATGGTCTCAAAAGAAGTTACCAGTGAAATAGCTGATACAGCAGTTTGAAATTTTCCAAAATTCATTAGGTTCAGAGAAGTCTCCTCTAGATTAGGAAAATAACTTTATTCAAAAAGGGAGGGAAGCAGGAAACAATTGGCCACTTAGCTTAACAGTTGTTATAAGGAAAATGTTAGGAGCTATCATTAAAGACATTATAACAGGATACTTGGGTAAGTTTAAGGTAATCAGAGAGAGCCAATCTGGTTTTGTGAAAGAGAAATCACGTTTAACTAATTTATTGAAGCTCTTTCTGGAGAGACCATGTCCTGTAGATAAGGGGAAACCTATGGTTGTATTATATTTAGACTGCCAGAGGGCATTTGATAAGGTACCACAACAGCAGAGGTTATGGAGTACGTGACAACAACAAAATTTTAACAAAAGTATAGGAATACATGAGTACAGTGAGAAGTATGCAAGATCACCATCACAGTTACAAAACCAGAATTAAAAAGCAGAATTTTTTTAAAAAAAAACAAGGCAAAAGGATGAAGGGATTAAAAAATATATAGTACTAAATTTGCTGACAAATTTAAGTAGGAAAGTGAATCAAAGAGGACATTAAAAAAAAAGGAAACTGCAAAGGGATTTGAGGAGATTACCATAACAGGTCCCACCTTCTCAACCTCACCTGACCTCAGGAAAAATTGTCCCTGTACTGAGAGCGCTACCCTGTAGTCCTCTAGGACCAGTGAATAATTAATTAATATTTTTAAAAAAAAACATAAAAAGGTGATCTAGCAAATGAAGGCCAGTGTGGAAAAGTATGAAATTGCCCACACTGCCTGAGAGAATAGAAAGGTATATTATATAAATGGCGAGAGGTTGCAGAGCTCTGAAGAACAGAGATCTAGGTACCCTAGCGCATGAATCACAGAAGGTTAGTATGCAGATACAGCAAGTAATCAGGAAAGCTAATAGGAAGGTGTTGGGTTTTATTGTGAGGGGAATTGAATGCAAGGAGTTGGGAGGTTAAGCTTCAGTTATACAGGTCATTGAGACTACAATTGGAGTATTTGTACAGCACCGGTCACTGTATTTGGATGTTAATGTGTTAGAAGACGTTCAGAGAAGGTTTACGAGAGCGGATTGCCTTTCAGGAAATGCTAGATAGACTGGGTCTGTATCGTCTCGAGTTAAGTGTCAGAGGTGACTTAATTGAAAAATGCAAGATATTCAGGGGTCTTGACTAGCGGAAAGAATGTTTCCTCTTGTAGGAGAATCTAGGGCCAGGGGTCATAGCTTAAAAAAAACAACCCTAACCCATTTAGGACAGATGAGTAATTCTTCCCCTGCCAGGGGGTTAGTTGCTTCGTGAGAGACGAATCAAACATTCCTGCTGCTAACCTTATGATAAAGGAAGTCATTAATGAAGCAGGGGAAGTCGTGGAAGTGGAGGAGATTGTTTTTGTGGACAGTCAACGCCTCTTTCTAGCTATGATTAGTGTTTCACTTCAATTTCTACTGAATTTGTTTGAAAAACATAGCAAAAACTGAAGAAGCAGCTCAGTACACCTCAGCAATTTTAAAGCTAATGGTATGGGAGATAATGTTGGGAGATGGTATCATTAATCTATTAGGAATATGTCATTCTCATATTGGCAGACTGAGTAGTAGGGTACCAGAAGAATCTCAATTCAGTGCAGAACAAGCATCATTGCCTAACACTTGCTTCACCAGCACCCGCTCCCCCAAACCCCCATCACTTGCACAGTTGTCTGCCATTATTCAGTCCCCTTGAATGCTTCAATTGAAGCTGCCTCCACTACATTTCCAGGCAGCGCATTCCAGACCCAAACTGCTCAGTAATGCAAACAGATTTCCTCATCACCCCTGCTTCATTTGCACATCCTTTTAATCTATGCCCCCTCATTCTTGCTTTCATAAGCAGAAATAACCTCTCCCTAGTTTACTCTACCTGCTCATGAATTTGAAAACCTTTATCAAATCTCCTCTCAGCCTTATTGCCTCCAGTGAACAAGAGCTGTTCTTGTTTTAAAACAATCACTTCTATGCTCCCTCCAATACATTCACATCTTTCCTATAAAGAAGTCCCACAACTGTAAACACTCAACCAACAAGTGTCTTGTTCAAGTTCACCATCACCCTCTCTTACTCTATGTCCCTATTAATAGGGAGGACACTGCTTTATTAACAGCAGTCACTTTCAGTAGTCTGTGCACATTTAGAATTGTACTTCCTAAATGATGTTGTCTTTCAATGTTTTCCCAAAGTGCATTACCTCCCTTCTCTGCTCGGTCACCTGCCACCTACTCCCATCAACTTACCCATGTCCTTTTGGAGTTCTACATGGGCCCCAGCTGCTCACAATACAATGATTTAAATGTGATCAAAAGTTTAATATACTTCACATTTTAACACAAGTAAAATTATGAGGGTGTGGCATGAGGAAGATTCAGCATAGTTTCAGTGATTGGATAAAAACACTGCACATGGAAGAGATATTTTCTTAAAAAAAACCAACCTGCTCAGATGTTATTACACACCAGAGAAGCTGGGCCTTGTAGCAGGTCTCCTGGTTCAGGAGGTAGGGATATTACCATTACATGAGGCCCTAGTGGGTAGAACAATGCAGAAAAGTGAGGTTATGCAGTTTGGTAGGACAAAAAGATGCAGAGTAGTTCTAAAAGAATGGAGAGTTTGAAAAGTATGGACATGTGTAGGGATTTGGGTATCCTTATCAAAAGGTCACTGATAGCAAATATGTAGGTGCAGCAAATCATTGCGAAGGCAAGTGGAATATTAGCCTTTAGCACAAGAAAATTGGGTACAGGAAGTGGCACCTTGTTTCAATTTTATAGGAGCTTGGTTATATGGTACCTGGAGTACTGTATGTAATTTTGGTCTCCTCCTCTCACGAAGAATATTAATGCCAGAGGGACTGCAACAAAGGTTCATCTGGTTCAAACTCTGCCTTTTGTTATTTGCAACTCTACAGAAAACAGGCAGGCAGTCTTAAAACCTGAAAAAGGTAGATACAGAAAAGATGTTTCAATGGTTGGGGAGTCTGGAGCCAAGGGAAATTTCTCTCCCAGTTTCAAAGTCTGTAATCCTTAAAAAGGCATTGAGTGCCACAATGCCTCAGTACTAGGGCACAAAGGGATTTGAAACCACAAGCACAAGCACCTGCCTCAAAAGGCTAGCATGCTACCCAGAGGTACAGCTGAACATCAAGTGACCTTGTAACATCAAAATTGAAAAGAAGATGTCTCATCCAGACTGTTGAGACAAAAGGGAAAAGAATGGTTTTTATAAGTTACATATTTTCTGAGCAGATGCCTAAAAGCACTGAGCTTTTGAAGTGTAGTCACTATTGTAAACTGTAGGAAATACAGCAGCTAATTTACAACACCAAATGAGGAAAAACAACAAAACTGCTCATCTCATCACCCTGAGAGGTGACAGAACAGGACCTGATAGTGTGGCACTTCCCACTCACTAACATGTTGAGACCAGCTGCCCTCCTGTAGAGTCCCAGAATGGCTCAAAACTTAAAAAAAAAAGACTTGGCTCTCAGCCAAGTAATAAATTGCCTTTTAACTTTGGTTAAAATCAGGAGGCAGTGAAGGGTATAAGATACAAAAGCCCCAGAAATCAGATTGAATGCATATGGTAGAAGAATACAACTGAAAAAAAAAAAGGCTGTTTTTTTCCCCTTTTCCAGTGCATTCATGCTGCTGGAATGCACTGGATTGCATACCAAGCCTTGGACTTTCATCCAGTGATTAGTTTGCTGCACAATAATCTGATAGGAGTTACAATACATATTTCCAGTGTGATGCATTTTATGCAAGCTTGGCAAAGTCAAAATTCTTTATTATATATAAAGCAGCTTGAACTAAAGTTCCCTCAAAGCCAACCCTGCCAAACTGAAGCAGGTTGGGCAAGAAACATTGTTCCAAAATGGTGAATGAACATGGCAGCAGGAAGGGCAGTTCAAAATCAAAGGCATGCTATAATTTGGCTTATAGTCTTGTATCTATAAAAAGTGGGAAACAAGTTGATTGCTGGTCAACCAACCAGGCAAAACATCCAGCCTTTGGAAGATCTCTTGCAATGAGATCAGCATAAATAGCAGCATACTGTGGAAGCCTGAAATCACATTTCAGCCTTCAATTGGCAGAGTTCAAAATGAGAAAGGAAGGGCTGTTATTTTATCAGAGCTTCTAGAGTTCTTGAACACTCCACTTGCAGGGCAGAGTGCATTTTGGTTGTTCAGAGTTTATAGCACACCTTAAACTTGAATCTAAGTCTCTGGCTCAAAGGCAAGGATGCTACCACTGCACTGCAAGAAGCCATGAAAGATGGTAGCTTTAAATTTTCATGCTCATCAGCTGTCTTGCACACAACCCTCCACAAACTGTGATTTACTTCAATCATTTGCAGTCTGACAATGAACCATAAATAACACAGCAAGCTACTGCATTTTGCGCGGCACTGGAAAGCAGTGGTTTGAGCAAAGTTGTAGCAGATTTTATGCCCAACATGAAATGCATTTTGCATCATTAAACTATTGACCATGCAGTGATCAAGAATGGAATTTTGGATAAGACTGCAAGGGGATTGAAGAATGAAGCGACAAAACAAATGCACTGGGAGAATCAAGCAAACTGGCACAGGGCTTTAAAAAGACATGTCATTGGGATTTTCACCCCCAAATGGGGTTGGAATACCTGCCATTTTCCCAACAAGCCAGAGGGTTACCCCATGGTGTTAGGAGCAAGGCAGCTGTCCAGGCAGCCTCCCAGCACAGTCAACACCAGCACTGCAAGATACCCTTGAGCACTTCCCCCCTACCAAAACACCGTCAGTCACAGGAAAGGCTGCAGACTGCCCTCTGGAAGGGTTCTGCATCCAAAAGAGACTTAGATGAGGAGCCCACTCAATCCACATTTGCATGGAATGAGTTCCATGCAAGAGGGCTTCTTACTGGTCCTGCAGCTTCAAGAACCACCCAAATCGAGTGGATTGGGAGCATGCCCTTCGTGACTAATTGGGCAAAAAAAAAGGAATAAAAATGTTGGGAACAGGCAATGAGTCATTACCCCATTCAGCTGCAACACTAGGATCCTGACCCAAGAACCACAATCTTGTCCCATGTGATCTCACATGCATTGGTCACAGTCCCACAAAAAATTTTAAAAACCTAATTTGTGGGAAATTGCAAGAAAGAAGCTCCATGAAAAAACTACTGGACAATATTGGACTGTAAAATCTTTTACAAAGATAAACCTCAGTTAAGTCCTTCTGTACAAGAATGTTACAGTATGCAATCTCTGCCTTCCCAACTCAAACCTCCTGCCACAGGATCTCACCTCCAACTGAATCTTTTCTATCTTCAAGTCACATTCACCAGCAACTGTATCCCTTTAGAAAAAAAAAGTGTACACAGACCAAGGCACAAACATCTTCACCTCAGGTTGAAACAGTCCCAATGGTGTAGAATCCTCAACTCCTTTTAGTCATTTTACATGTTCTGGCAACATGAACAGAAGTGATGTGGCTTGTCTAAATCTCACCACTATCTCCTGCTCCCTGTTCTTCCTACCTGAAAAAGGTCTCTGCTGTGGTCTTGATCTGCTTCAACTTCACGATCTGCTTAAAAAGACTGCAGCAGGCACCTTGCTCTAAGAGCAAATCACAAGAAAACAGGGTTTTCCCCCAGCATATGGGGGAAAAAGAATAAAAAAAGGATGAATGATAAAGGACATCTTTGCCCCTCTTAAAAATCTGACTAGATTAGAACGACCCATCCAAAGAAAGTCCATTCACACCACTGATTATGGTGTATATATTACTGAGGTGAGAAATCATGCAACCATTAAGCAGCACAGCGATGAATGAATTTTTGCGCAAAAAACTTAGATAGTTACTTTAATAGCTCATTTAAAAAGATTATACAGCCAAGGCATGGTACTAGATTCACAATCTAGTAAATGCAATATAGTACAGTAGCAAGAAACATTTAAAAGCCCAGAGCAACTGTTCATACCACCACTGAAATAAGCCAATACATTAGTCCCATAAACATTTATTTGAAAAAAGTGCTCAATAACTGACAGCATTACATTTAAACAATGCACATCAGTTCAGAGTGCCAAGACATTCCAGCCTGGTCAGGCCTAAATTTCTCTTTCCGGTATACAATACACAATTGATTTAAAAAAAACAGCCCTTCTACAGAAGAATCAAAACACAGCCACTGAAACAGGAAATCTGTGATATGATTGTCCAAAAGCTACCTCAGAAGTTCCAATATTTGCCCAATGGTGAAGTGTTAGGAATCAAGTCACTTGCACAGAAGAAGCAATTTACTGGGGTCTTGTTTCAAGTCAGAAATATCTTGTTAATACAGCCAATTGCTCAAACCACAAGCCTGTGCACATTTTAGGGTTAACTTTCTATCATATTCACCATTGGTGTGAAACAATGGGTCTAAAGCATTAGCTCACTTCTTTGAATGAAGGGTGGCAAAGGAAGACTTGTGCAGCAGCCTCCAACAGTGAATGAAATTTTCAAACTGTCAACTTAACTTTGCATTGTAAAAATGCTGGAGAGATTGCTTCAAGAGCTTTAATGTTGAACTAAAAACAATCCTCATATCACAAGTATGATACTGGCCTACACAATTTGTTAGGGGGGGGTTTTCATACTGTCAGCTAAGAGAGGAAACTGAAATCAGTGATATTAACTGGACAGCGTTTACCAGAACCCGAAAAAGGGCAAAGATGAGGAGTTACATTTTAGGAAAGCCATTCTCTTTTCCCCTCTCCAGTATTACCGACAGTCACTTGCTTGGTATCTCAAGTTTTGAACCTTGTCTTTGGGGTTCCTACCTACCATTGCTTTTGTTACTACATTGTGATATTGAACAACTACTCAGTTGTTGGCTAGTTACATTTTTACAGCCTAGCACACAGATAGAAGGTAGGGTTTCTTTACATGTTACACCAGCAAATCAAAATCAATATTCCAATCTTCCCAACACAAAAAATGCATTATCCATGTTAGTTCGAGAGATTAGACTTGGCAAACTTCAGTTTTGCTTTTGAGTTAAATCAATTCACAGCAAGCTTCCAGTGTTTGTTTTTTGTTCCACTTTTACAAATCCTGTCTGTCTCTTATCATATACAATACCCTGGGAGTACAAAAACATCTAGAATAAATTACAAAATAAAATCCATTCTTTCCTAGTTATGGAGATTCTCCTATTTCTTCAGTCTTCCCTTTGTAGAAGTTCAGTTTGGCCCATAGGGAAAGCTAAAACATTCATGAATGTCACCTTTAGGGGACACAGCAATTGGCAAACCGTGCAAAGACCCGTTCCCTTCTATTTTGGTAATCTGAACATGACGTCAGCTGTCAGTGTTTACCTTCTGCACTCATACAAAAAGTAGGTACGGCCATTTAAATATACAAATCACTGAACAGTCAATAGACATCAGTGCACCAAAAAAAAGAAAATAAGTGGCATAGCTGGAGGAAAAAACCACTAAACCAGAAGCAGTCAATATCAATAATAATTTTAGGGGTTGAAGTGGGGGGGTGGAAAGCTGCTTGCATCAGGCTACATAATAAAAATTAGTGTTTTTGTTAGCCATGCAACAAGTTAACCTGTAAAACCAATAGTTTGGGTTTTGAATATTACTGTGGTAGGAATGCAGACATTGTAAAAATATACACAACTTCAAAAATGCATCAAGGTGGTTTAATATAAAATCTCCATCATAAAGTGTTAATTTGCGATGCATTGGTTTAGTCCTTCATTTGACTTGGCTTGCAATCCTCTGTTCACATACTTCCTAGTTAGTGATTCTCAATTCAAATGTGAAAGCTTTACAGATATCTATTGGTGCAAATAATTCACACCCAACATTTGCATCAACTTGTGTTGAAGCTATTGAATGCCCCTAGGCTAACTTGGTGTGTTTAAGCCTGTTGTTTTAACCTGGAGGTTCTTTTGGCTACATTTTAGATCCAAGGACATTTACAACCTTGTAAATGAAAAGGGAAAGCACCAGGGTGCAAGAGGTCTATTTTTAAAAAAAAAAAACAACTTAGGAGGGAGAAGCAATCAAGTTTAGTCTAACGCAAACTAGGGAGTGGAATTCAGAGTGGGTGATAGTGACAAAAACATCACAGGTCTGGTGAGGCTTTGAGAGTACATTAACTTGTATGCATGTTTACGTTGTAAAAAGTCCCATTACTGAGAGACTCTTGTATGAAATTTGGAGAACAGACAACATGGCACACAGGAGGTAGGTTTTGAAACAAAAGGTATTGCCGTAGGAAGGAACATTAATTGGAAAAAAACAGCTGCTCAGGATGGTTGAAAGCATTGCTCTCAAACCTTTTTTGGTTAAAAGCACACAATGTTAAAGATGCTGGACATGGCCATCTTGCCTTACAAAAAAAACAGAAGGAGGGTGCAGAAACAGAAGACTCCTTTCAAAATCTACTTGCTGCAGTCACTTTCCAGCTAAAAATGGAGAAGTCCCATGTTAATGGAACCAGAAGAACTGAAGAAGTTGCTTTGAACCATCATTCCCATTCACACCATAGAGGTCTCAATGTTTCAAAGGAGGTCTTCTATATACTGTAGAATTGGACCCACAATCCAGATAGCGGTATGCTTCCAGAGAATTCTGCGATGGATGTCCCAAATAGGAGCTTTTCACTGTGGTCCTGAGAAGAGAAAAACAATTAAGTACTGCAGGGGAAGAAGTCAACAGTTAGCTTAGTCCCACTGAAGAATGGAGTTAACTTTGTCCAAGGAGGTACTGCACCATTATTGGTGGGTGTAACCAGTGGTATGGAAGTCAAAGTCAGATCTACAGTACAGGGAAAAGGCTCTTTAGCCCATTATGTCTGCTCTGGTCAAAACGTCATTCTATTCTATCTTCCAGCACTTCGTCCATAGTCTTGTATGCTTCGGCATTCAAGTGTTTAGACATACCATCACAATGTTGATGATTTCTGCCTCCAACATTGGTTTTTCCCATCTCAACCTTCTAACCTTACTTTAATAACAGATGCCACTAGTCATTGGTCCCAAGGGGAAAAGCTGGTCTATCCTATGCTCCTCAAATTTAACACCAAATCATGGTCCCCTCAGTCTTCTGCTTTAAAGAGAAGAGAAATGAGCCTAGTCTGTCCAATCTCTCTAAGAATTCTCCAGCCCAGGCAACTTCCTGGTGCATCTCCTCCGCAACTTTTGTGCTACCACATCCTTCCTACAAGTGAATCCTAGAACAGCACATACTCTGGCCCAACTAGCACTTTATGCCGTTCCAGCATCATCTCCCTGCTCGCAAGCTATGCCTTGGCAGGTTATACCATATGCTTTCTTAACCATCTGCCCTAATACCTTAAAAGGGACAGATGCACAACCACACATACAAGTTAAAGAAATCAAAGCCTCACCAGACCTGGGATATTTTTGTCCTCAGTTTCTCCCAGGGTTCTACCAATCATGTATTCCTTGCCTTTTGTCCTGAAGAGCAGCTCCACACACTTATCTGGACTGAATTCAGTCTCTGATCCACCCATCTGTATCCTCCTGTAATCCAAGGCCATCTTCCTGACTACTTCCTGCCCCCACTTTTGTTTTGTATCTGCAAATTTGATCAACCCTCCTACATTAGAGGGTAAAATCATTTAAGCAAAATCAGCAAAGGGCCACAACACTAATCCTTGGAGGGACCCTATGGGACACAGACTGCCAGATAGAAAAGCCCTCAGCCATCACCCTCTTCTTCCTGCCTCTCAGCCAATTGCAGATCCAATTCAGCAAATCCTTGGCCAGTTGACCTTATCAAAAGCCTTGAAGTCTAAACAGATTTCAAATGCATTGCCCTCATCTACACAGCTGGTCACCTTTGAAAAATTCAAATCAAGTTTGTCAGACATGACCATCCCTTGGCAATACCATGCTGACTATTCAGTTAATCCCAATCTCTCCAAATGCAAA